CAATAGTGGATCATCAATCAAAGCCTGGTAGCTTGGTCGGTTACGCTTCCCTTCCAGGGTTCCTCTAGGGAACAAAACTAAATTATAATCAGCTTAGTAAATAAAACTGATTCTGTGTAAGGTGGTGAATCCATCTGATGTGACAGATGTTTTAACTGTATTATCTCACTGCTAGTCCCTAACTATCTGGATTCTACTTGCTACGAATTAACACAGAAACCTGGAGCGTTTCTTTGTTTTTTATGATAGGCAGATGACACTCCAAGTGGCAGTAATGGAGAATCCTCAAAAGATAACTATCTTATAGGTGAACAACACATTTGTAAAGCTTATTGGCCCCCTACGATTGTTCAATCTACAGAACGTGAGGTAACATAAGTACTACAACATTTAAATCAAAATCATATGCAAATCCAAGAGTTTTATAACGAAGCGTCCACTTGCCAGCCCAAATTCTGACCAGAAAACAAAAAGTGGGGGGTGTTTCACCACACTCTTTAAGTTTAAGTAATAGGGTTCGTAGGACTAACATTCACACACATATTTATATATACAGATCCCTTCGTTCGGTAAATGAAGTACCAACTACAATGCGAGAAAATATACACGGTACCTTTATAACGTATAAGACGAGTACACGATAATAGCTTCGACCATTCTCTGTAGTATTATTAATAACAATATGCTATTACTATTTCTACTATGCTCTACATTCTATAAAATTAAAATCCTCCCCTCCAGAAAAAAAAAAAAAGAACGCTATTGTACTTGACCTATACGTAGAGATTGTAACAGAATCCTACCGCCAAACTGTTACCATAACTATAATTTATCAGCATTGGAACTTACATTTTAATTCTGAAATTTACTGCCAAATCACAACTGTGTATATAATTAAACTTTCGGTTTCCCCTCACGTCACTCGCCATGTCTGCGACCATTTTCCACAACAAATTCACAACTCTACTGCCCTCTAACGGTAATGTGGGATAAGTGTTGTAAAAATAAAATTATATAATACAAACCATTTCGTAAACGACAATCCTTAAATGATTTTTCAAATACACCAGAATATTTCCTGTTTTTTAAAACTTTTATATTGAATATTCTAAGTATTTTATGATTTATTTTTTAGTTTAGTATACATAGTAGAAAACTCTCTAATTAAGTTTATTGATAATATTTGTAGTGAACAACATAAAAAAAAAGACTAGGACTAGTTAATTTCTTTGTATAGAATATCATAGAGTATGTGGACAGTTTCGTTGCTAGTTTCAAAAAGCAATAGTTTTTACGAAGCTTATATAGGAGTGAATGATATTGGAAATTGTAAATTAAAAGAGCTGCTTAAAAATTATTTTAGAAACATCCTCAGGACCTTAGAGATAGAAAATGACGTAAGTGCCCTCCACCACCCCCTGCGGACGCCCATGAACGTAAGGTTAGGTGTGGGAATTATGTACTTTCAGGATCTAAATTAAGCTTGAATTTAAATGAAATATTATCAGAGATATACTTAGGTTTAGAGCAGTAGGTTATGCTGGGTGGAATTGTGGGATAGTATTTAGGTCAAGGGTGAATTATGTGCTAGAGATTACTCTGAAGAATGTTTGGAGAAACTCTACATATATTATTTAATGATACTTTAAACTTAACTTACACAGTAGTGAGGGAGCTTTAGAATTGGGGTGGGAACAAACTTTGGGCAACGAAGAGTTTTGGAATAGCAGACTTAGAAACATAACAATCTAACTAATTGTTTTAAACATAAACATATCAGTATCAAGAATAAGCGAAGCTTCTATTATTCTAATGTTAGAAACAAAAAAATGTGGGTTCAAGGTTCAACTTGAAATGTTTTTCGTATGCTTGTTATTAAGCGCAAAGCTACACAGTGAGATATCTGTGCTACGCCCACAAGGGTTATCGAAACTTTATTTCTAGCACTGGGTAAACTTGAAATAAAAAACTATAATAAAGACATCATCGACATTATAAATATATATATATATATATAGTGTGGTTGACATATTATTATACATTCTTCTTCATTTTCATTCAGCATTTCTTAGTTATCATGGAAATTACTGATATTTGATTAGCTTTGGTGAATACTGATGATGTGAATTATTTTGAAATTCTATGTTATGTTATTTAATAGTATAAGACTCTTTAAGAGAGGATGGAGGAGGTAGCTCTTTGTATAAGGTATGAACTGCAGCTTATTGTGGTTGTCTATTATCAACGAGGGAAGGAGAAAGATTCCAGAATGGTTTTGTAAACCGAATGGTTAGACGGGATGTCGTTTCAAATTTATTGTTAACCATTAATGAGGATATAATTCCAAGAGTTTAACTAGAAATTTTGAGGAAGAGGCTGATCATTACGTAATGTTTTGTTACATGTTGGCATAAAAAAGAAGTAAAATTGTAGGTACTCATTTTCGGACAGCCAACATTGAGGCCCTGAAACAAGATCTGTTTTGTGAACTGAGATGAAAGTTAAAAGATGTTATGGGATATATTTCAAAATTTTAAAAAGTAAATTGCTTTTAATTCAAGATAGGCATATTTGTATAAAAAGAGGAAAATAATAATAGGGAAGACCAATAATATAAAGAAGTGAATCAGGAATAAATACTGTTATAAGTTATATTTTTAATATTGTAATTTATATGTTGACTAGAGGGCACATCACGAATGTTAATGAACTAGAAACTTTGCGAAGTAACTAGAACAAGGGTTAGATTATAAATATGAGGCCAGTGAAGCATCAAGAAAATCGTTGAAAGACAGTCAAGGAGATAGTATGTAGAGTTATGTAAAAACAAAGTTGAATCAATATTGATAGAGATGTGATTACTACTTAGTAAAGTTTGCTGCTGATATTAAACTCTTGGGTACTTCAAGCTGTATTAAGAATATTGAGATATTTCAAAATGACTTGGTTTAATCGATAAGGTGGGTAATTACATTTGGCAAATAACCATTAATTATAGTAAGTGCAGGGTTTATCATCATTGGGGTCGGTCACATGTTTAGTACAGACGTAATCCAATTCAAATGTGTGACTGAAGACAATTATTTTAGCATAGTGGTGGATAAGATGCTCAAACCATCGAAGCAGTGTTCTGTTGCTAGTAGGTAAAGCTAATAGAAGTGAATTTGTAGACATAATTATTACAATTCAAAAGATGTAGTTATATCTCTCTCTACAAATCACTAATCAGACCTTACGTGGAATACTGTGTACAGTTTTTGTTTCTTTTTCCAAGAAAGGATATTGACTTACTTAAATATGTTCAGGGGAGAGCTACTAGGATGATTCTGGAGAGGGGGTTGCCTTACGGGAATAGGTTAAGGTATTTTAATTTGTTTTCTCTTGAGGAGGAAAGGGTAAGAAATTATTTTATTAGAGTGTATGAGATTATCCAGGGGATTGATAAGATAAAGTGTACGAGATTATCCAGGGGATTGATAATATAAAGTGTAAGAGATTATCCATGAGATTGATAATATAAAGTGTATGAGATTATCCATGAGATTGATAAGATAAAGTGTATGAGATTATCCAGGGGATAAATAAGATAAAATGTGTGAGATTATGCAGGGGATTGATAATATAAAGTGTATGAGATTATCCAGGGGATAAATAAGATAAAATGTGTGAGATTATGCAGGGGATTGATAATATAAAGTGTGCGAGATTATCAATTGGATTGATAAGATAAAGTGTATGAGATTATGTAGGGGATTGATAAGATAAAGTGTATGAGATTATCCATGGGATTGATAAGATAAAGTGTACAAGATTATCCATTGGATTGATAAGATAAAGTGTGCGAGATTATCCAGGAGATTAATAAGATAAAAACTTCTGGTTTCTTTGTTTTGTGTTCTGAAGGTAATAGAACAAGAGGACAGAAGTTTAAGGTTTAAAGAAGTAGAAGTGTAGGCTCCAATTAAGAAGATTTTATTTTTATAGCAGGGTGATTAGTTTATACATCCGTAAAACAATATTCTTAATAATGGTGTGATTATGGCACGTTTGGTAACGTGATGGTGTGAAAGGGATTTTCCCTGATCCTTTGTATTCTTTAAAAAATGGTACAAAGCTGAAACTCTACATGTAAATGGGGAGAAAATTTCTTTAGCAAAACAAGATTTGGACTTTGTTTATCTATCCCGGTTAAGGTAATATTTGCTTCATCAAATACCTTTTCTATATTTAAATATATCCGAAAATGCTACATCTTTCACATCTGGCAGTATATTTAAATAAAAACCTGTTAATTATTATTTGTTCTAAACAGAATGGGCTGTTATATATTATACCAGCCCATTCTTTTTATAATATATAATAATTAACAGCCCATTCTTTTTATAATATCCCATTCTTTTTATAATATATAATAATTCTGTTAATTATTATATATTATAAAAAGAATGGGCTGTTATATATTACATATTATAAAAGAATGGGCTGTTAATTATTATCTGTTCTAGTAAAACTACTTAAGTAAAATATTAGTTTTCTGAAATTTTTTAACATTTATTAAATATGATTTTATTACAAGTTACAATTTTACAGTAAGGAAGAATATTTTTACAGCAGATACGACGTTTCGACCATACATAAGAATGATTACACCAATGATCGAAACGTCGTATCTGTTCTAGAAACTATTCTTCCTGCTGTAAAAGTTGTAACTTGTAATAAGATAACACTGAATCAGTAAATAAACGGAACTATTTATTACATATGTCCGTTTATATTAAACTTCAGCAAGTATAACTAAAGTCAGGTTAAAAGAATAACTGTCTCATGAATACTTTGAATTTAATTTTTCGTTAATCATTATCATCGAGTTGTTTGACATTTTAGATTTTTGAAACATGCACTGTTGATACTATATATAATCACGAGATGGCGCTATAAACGAACGCCTCCCACCAGAACTTTGAGATGTCGTAATAGGTGGTTATAACTGTTTCTCACCATTTTTTAAAGCGACAAGATTGTGTTACTGCTCTCAGAGTTCGTACAGCTACTCGTGTTTGTTTAATCCAAAGTTACATAAATCTCCATTTACGTTGCACAAACTTCTACAAGCTTCTGTGAAATGTTTCAACAGTTTGTTTTGTTTGAGCGCAAACTTTACACAGTGGTCTATTTACGCTGTACCAACCGCAAGAAGAAAACCCACAAATTTAGCTTTAAATGGGGGGGGGGGGGCGGCATATTTCAACAGAAATATTAGCATGCACCCTATGGTTTCCATTATCAATAATGGTCTAAGGTACACTTCCCCAAGGCTTTTAAGGCTAAAAGACGGGTTTCGACACCTGTGGTGTGTACATCACAGATAGCTCATTATGTAGCTTTGCCCTTAACAACAAACAAGTAAACAAAAAGTGAGATGGAGTTCCTAAATTATTTTTTTACTCAAGTTAACGTTATTAAAGTCACGTGCCAATAATATTTATCTTCAGAAAAGTATTAGGTGACTTCAGTTTTTTTTATTGTCAAACAGTTATTATGTTTCGTAGTTAATGTACTACAACTGACATTATAAAATAACTTAGAAACAATTGGAGTTTCTAATTGTATATTTTACTTTTAACTTGATACAATAAATTATTGTGGATTTTGTACAAGAATTATATAGTGAACTAACACTATTTTATCATAATTAGTTATATTGACAACTTTCAGCAGTAAACTTAAGTGCTTATAACACTAAAATCGGGGATCGCAGTGGGACGGTGTGGATATCCCATTGTTTAGCTATTCGCTTAGCAACAAATAAACAAGCAATTTTTATCTACCATCATCCTGACAATTGTCGACAACGTTTACTAATGAACACATTGTTCTAATACACAACACCAGGCGGTGGGATGTAAAGTACGAGAACGTGACCGACAATGTAAAAACACGTGATTGATATCGAT